GCTTCGAAAATTCAAGATAAAGAACCTTTCTTGGACTAAAAAAAACAAAATAAAACAAAACAATTAGACAATATTAAGAAGCATATCATTTGTTAAATATTTGAGAAGAGAAGAATTTTAACTCTATTATATATGATACTCTTAGTCGCTCTGTGAACTTTATTACTACGAAGTTATTATAAAAATTTACATTATGTAATACAAAATTTTTATTTTTTTAATTATATTTAAAATTGTTGACAATATGGGATCACTATTTGTGAGAACTAATTTCTTACATAGTTCATATATTTAGACGCTAGCAAAATTAATTAGTAGTTAGCCACTGAAAATTTTCAATGATACGTATACCATTGAAGTATCCATTGGAATTTTCAGCGGAATAACTGCCTTCTGATTTTTCATTGCAATATAGTAATTTTTTTGTATTTCTTCTTAAACATTAAAATATTTATGTAGTAGTATTTTTTAGTCCATAATCTTTTTTTAGAAATCACTCATTATTTTATCTCTAGATTACCTATTAATTTCTCAGTTAAATTCCCTTAATGTTTACATATTCATTATTAAATACTGAAAATAATTATTATTTTATATATGTAATACGATATTTATATATTATATTTCAAAACTAATAGAAAATAAAAGACTTAAAAATTAGAACAATCATTTTTGTTGAAGTTTAACGATTCTAATTTACATGGATTAAAATATAAATAACTATTGTCTATCACCTAAAACTTGTACATATAAGTAATAAACACAACAAATTAATAACCGTTTAATAACTCAACTCATTCACATAGATAAGTACTCCCTCCTATTTTTATTATTTGTCGTTTTGAAAAGCAACACACTAATTAAGAATTTTTTTCTTGTCAATATTAACCCTATTTAATGGATGTTATGGGAAACGATGGAGATGGGATTGACGAGACACTGTGTAATAGATGGAGGGTTAAAATGGAAAAATATGAACAAAATAGCCAAAATGACATTTATTTAATCAATGATCAATTAAGCCAGAGTGGCAAATAATAAAAATAAGAGGAAATACAAGTTTTAAAAGTTCATATTTACTTTTATTAATTATAAAATTTTTATTTATTACATTTTCATATTTATTAGTAAGTGTTACGACTTAATTATATGTCTAATATTATATGTTTTTAATATATATATATATATGTGTGTGTGTGTGTGTGTGTAAAATTTTTTGATTTGTTAAAAATGCATAAAATCAAGTATAAAACTTTTTGGGTCATACGTCTTATTATAAATCAATTAATTGTACATCTTTATATTATATTATATATAATTATAATTTTTATTAATATTATAATCAAATATTATAATTTATAAATTCATCAATTATATTGTCGAACCAACTATACTGCCACATAAAATTTTGTTCTTAAAAATTTTTAAAAATGTATTATTTCAATGATTTTATTATCAATGCTTCTTTTTTAAATATTTTATAACTTATTGTGATTGTATTAATGTGTTAAAAATGTATTATAAATGATAAAGATGATAAATTATACATTTTAGTATGTAGTTTATTTGTTTTGTTCGTAGTTTATATGTTTGTTCGTGTGGTTGTGTCCGAGTTTTCTGTCTTTGTTGCTGTTGTGTTTTGTGTTTTTGGTATGGGCCGTTGGCCCCTGTTAACCTGGGTGTTACCTTTATTCTCCTGTTGGGAGCCAACACCTAGGCATTCTCTCGGAGGGGAGCTTTTTAGTTTTGTGATTGTGTTTAGTTGCGTTTTTCTCCCGTGGGGAGCCAGTAGTCTTGTGTTTGTGCTTAGTTGTTTGAGTTAGGTTTTCTTCTGGCGTTGCCAGCGATTCTAGGCGGACTTCGGTCTAGCCTCTCAGTTTGTAATTCCGCACATTTGTGCGCCTTTTATATAGTTATTCTATCGTTTCGGGAAAAAAAAAATAAAAAAAAATGTTATCTCTGTTGAATATCCAATGAAATTTTCCAATTAAAGCTTATACCAATGAAATATCCGTTGGAATTTTCAACGGAATACCTTACGGTTAGGTTTTTTTTTTATTGTATTCATTCTTAAACATTAAATTTTTATATAGTATCTTTTGTTATTAATTAATTATCTTTACAAATTTTTAATTAAAAATACATTAAACACATGGCTTTTTAGTCCATTTAATTCTTTAGAAACCACTCATTATTTTATCTTAAGATTACCTATTAATTTCTTAATTGATTTATATTGCTTACATATTAAATATTGAATAATGAAAATATTTACTATTGTATAAATGTAATATGATATTTTTATATTATATTTAAAAAACTAATAGCAAATAAAAAAGTTATTTAAAATTAGAAAAATCAATTTTTTTTTAAAAAAAAATTAAAAGTTATTAACCTAAATGGATAAAAGTACAAATAACTATTGTCTATCACCTAAACCTTACATATAGAATTAATAATCACAAAAAATTAACAAATGTCTACAACTCAACTCGTTTATATTGATAAGTACAAGTTTTATATTTACTTTAATCAATTATACACTTTTAATATTATTTATGAAATTTTATATATATCTTATTATGTATTAATTTTGTACATTTTTGTAAAGAAAAACAATGCTTTACTATAATAATATAGATTGGATAGATGAATACTGGTAATATATCGATATAATTTCTTGGTAAAAATTAATATTTTAATAGATTAATTTCAAAAATAATATTTCTATACTTCGTGGCCGTTATGAGAACAAACAATACCAATGTCAAGTTTTGTTAATAAAAATTTCTAAAAAGTATATTGTTTTCAATGATATTTTATATTGAATTAAGAAAAATCATGTTTTTTTTAATATTTTCTAACTTATATGTGTTAAAAATGTATTACGAAAGATGACAAACTATGAAAACTAAAATTTATAAATTGTAGTGAATTATGTTATTTTGATGGTATACTTTTTCTATTAACTAAATAGTGCCCCCAATAAGAAATTATTTGTATCCTTCACTGCAATTAGCTTTCATAAACTTATATTGAATTTTTAAAATTCCGTTTACAGTTTTTTAAAATAAATTCTAACTGAAATTCACACAATAATAAACAATGGTAATTGTAATAATTAAATCAACAAAAATTTCAATATAATTTAATTTGATCTCTAATAGACAATGAAGTTTTTCAAAGAACACTACATCAATGAAATATTCGTTGCAATTTTCAGTGGAATACCTACAATTTTTCTATTAAAAATATATTTAACACATGAACTTTTTAGTCCATATATATATATATATATATATATTTTTTTTTTAAAATCACTCATTATTTTATCTCAAAATTACCTATTAATTTCTCAATTGAGTTAAATTTCTTACATATTAAATATTAAATAATATAAATAATTATTATTTTATATATGTAATATGATATTTAATATTATATTAAAAAAAGAAAATAAAAGGTTAATTAAAATTAAAATAATCATTTTTTTTTCTAAAAATAAAAGTTCTAACCTACATGGATAAAAGCACAAATAACTATGGTCTAATACCTAAAACTTACATATAGAACTAATAAGCATAAAAAATTAACAAGCATTGAACAATTCAGTTCGTTTGCATCGATAAGTACAATTTTAAAAGTTTTATATTTATTCTTATTAATTATAACATTTTTATTTATTACTTTTTTTCATCTTTAATAGTAAGTATGACAACTTAATTATATTTTTATAATATATAGTATTTTTTTTTTTTTTTTTTCTTTTTTCTGTTCTTTACAATTTAGCCTCCCATTTTCATAACTCCATAATGTGATCAAATACACATGACTTCATTAATTTTACACTTTGCAACCTAAACTAAATTTTGTAACAAATGACAACCCATACTACTTAAAAAACCACAGTTGGCAACCTGCACTAAATTTCGTAGCAAATAATAATTTGTGCTATTTGAAAATACATGTTGTCATTCAAGTATATAAAAATAAATTTGATAGGTTCATTTTTAGCCCCTCTCACATTGTTAAACAAATCGACAGTATTACAGACATAGCCATCGATGCATGTTATTACCGATGTGATCCATAATACTGATGGTATTATTGATGTAGAAAATTTAATATTATAATATATATACATATTAAAATTGAATAAGGTTAAAGTAAGTATTTCAATTTAATTTTTAAAATCACAAGTTAAGGGTTAATTTTTTTTTTAAAAAAAAAATTATTGTTTAATATTTTTATTTAATGACCAATACTTTTAGTATGTACAACTCAGGTGCAATTTTATACTTCATTAATTCGGTGTTTTCTATATATCTATACAAGACTATTGGTCAGGAATCGGTTAGTAAAATATGGTACATTATTTTATTCCTTGTTCAAATATATTAATGGTTTGTTTTCTTAAAATTTTTACTCTATTTCTACGTGTAGGAGCTTATTTCTCGAATATATATATATATATATTTGGATATAGATCTTTTATATTCTTATAGTGTATTCCGACAAGTTTTCTAAATTCAAAGTAATTGAAGATTGTAAACTATATTCTTTTTAAGAGTTGTTATTTGCTATGGAACATAGTTCAAGTTGCAAAGTGTAAATTTTCAAATAGTACGGGTTGCTATTTGCTATAAATTTAAGTTTAGGTTGCGAAATGTAAAAAAGATGAAAGTATAGGTTGCTAATAATATTTTTCCCTATCAAATAATACAAAAGTTTGGGAAGAAAAGGCGGCCTCAGAATGCTCTAGAACCGACAGTTCACCCGAACTCAAAACCACGGACTTCAGAACTGGCTCTTTTGCCTTCAAAGTTTAAGGGCCTATAAGGGTTGGAATTTTGCCATTATCAACCTTTGATCTGGTATTTTCTGATCAGGAAATCCACAGTTCTCAATTGTGGTTACACTTGTAACATTGTATGTCAAGGTGCATTTGTGATTTGAACCTTTCGTTTTTGACTAATTTGGTCGATAACAGAAAGATTTTAATGGAGCAAGTAACTTTCCGAAGTAAGGCTTCCACTTGCAAGATCATATGCTGTAGTTTTTTTATCAACAGCAACTGAAATATTTGGTATCTTTTGTCCTTGTAGGTGGACATGGTTACAGTACCCTCCACAACAGGGCAGATGAGTGTTCTTCCGGGGCATGTGCCATTAATATCCGAGCTGAAGTCTGGCTTGCTTTCCATACATGAGGGAGATGAAGTAACTAACTATTTCATAAGCACTGGTTTTGCGTTTGTGCATTCCGATTCCATTACTGATATACTTGCAGTCGAGGCTGTCCCGATTGAGCATGTCGATCCTGCCTCTGTCCAGAAAGCGCTTCGGGAATTCACTCAAAGGCTGGATTCAGCTTCGACTGATATTGAGAAAACCGAAGCCCGAATAGCAGTGGATGTTCTAAGTGCTTTAAATTCATCTCTCAGGTTTTTAACTGTTGATTCTTGACTGAAGAATTAAAAATTGTTTCTTTAATAGAGAAAGAAAAGAAAGAAAACTGGAACTAAAAAAGTAGGGTCGAACTCGAATGCATGCATCTTGTTGATATCAAGGTAAGAATACCTCGATGTTACAATGCAATTAAAGAAATCGCGAAGATTAATGCAAGAACTAAATTCGGGACGACGTCAAGCAGTACGTTCTACATCTCGGTAACCTCACCTCGGTACCCATTAATGATCGCGGATATTTGGAGGTCATCGACACAAGTCGGGAGAAACCTCGAAGAAGGCCAATTCGGTCAAAGAATTACTTATTAAGAAGTCGTAAAACGTCGGAAATCAATCAAGATACCGACATCGCAAGACAAGCCGACTTCGATCCGACAGATGTGACACTCGTCACACAAACAGAGGCGCGCCCATGCTAATCATTGCCTACAAGATTCTTCTACGTCATCGCCGCCCCTAAGATGTCAAATCTTCATTAAAACGGGAATGATTTGTCTAGGGAAGTGTGCCAAACATACCTATAAATAGTAGTTCCGAAAACGAGAGAAGGGTTCGAAAAACGATCATACACACTCATATATTCAACTCGGTAGTCCCCTTTGTAAACCGACTTAAAATACATTGAAAAACCGACCTCTTTGTACTAAGACCGACTTCAAAATATTCACTAAAAATCTCATTTTCAGCAATCTTTTCTGTTAATATTACATTGTTAACGTTGATCAAATCCGTTTATCAACAA